ACTAATGCCCGGATATATACACAAAAACATAAACTTCAGACATAAACATTAACTCATAAACATAAACATTAACTTCAGACATTCTTATTATTTTGAATATTTCACCTTTTAACGTACACTATATATAAATATTAATTGCATAGCAGTGTGTATATAGTGTACGTAAAGTAAAAATATTCATATTTAAATATCAAAATAATAACGTCTAAAGATAAGTACAGGGTGGGGAAAAATTATTGGTCAAGCTTTTGCCAGTCGATTCTACTCGTCGAGATCGACAACATTGCATCATAAACATGGTGCCGCAAAATTAACTTTCAAGATCATTTTCAATATCAAATTTTTTATTAACTTAGTCGATTCTACTCGTCGAGCTGAACAAAAGTCACAAAGGGACCATATGCCGGAAATCAATATTTCATAGAGAAATATTCGTTTAAAGTTTTTAGAAGCCAAAAAATTTCGTAAAATTAATTGTCATGGGTGTAAAATCTGCTTAATCTACTCTTAACGCTACCCAGGAACAACAAAGTGGGCGTGGTAGATTTTTGTTCCCTTCGGAGTATCTTGGTAATCAGTAACATTTCAACGGTTGTTGGTTCCTTAAAGCAACGGTCATTTACTTCGGTGAGGAATAATATATCGCTCCAAGACATTCGTTACTCGTTATAAGATTTCCATTCATATCCAGATCTTTTTCGTGATTATTAGAAGACCGCCGCTGATCTTGAATCAATTTTCAGTATAAAATTTAAAAAAATTGTTTTAATTTTTTACCAAATTTTTTCTAAGAATAACGTTGCTGTAGCATGCCTCGACATGGTGGCCGTAATGATCGTGATCGGGTGCATCGGAATGGGCGTGACCAACATCTAATGCTTCGAGCAATTGATCGTGTTCATGGTAATTACACACGAGCACGAGCTCTTTATGCTAGTTGGTTGCGACGCCAAGTTAATGGCAGACCATTACGTCCAGGGTCCGTGCCCGATCGTCGAGAATTTCAACGACTCGATTCCATGATCAGGAGCAAATGAATTTTGCAGGTGCTGGCCGTAGGGCAGGTCGTCCTCGTGTGTCTTGGAGAATTGAGGAACGTGTGATTGCTCTAGCTCAAACTTATCTTGTCATAGGATCATGACGCATAGGTGCGCGAGTAAGAGTTGATCATAAAACAGTCTTGCGCATTCTCCGTGAGGAAGGCCTACGACCCTACAAAGTGCAGGTAGTGCATGAGTTACGACCTGGTGATCGCACAGCTCGTCTTTGTTTTTGTCGGTGGATGCTTCGCAAGATCCGAAGAAATCCGCACTTTCTGAAAAATATAGTGTTCACTGATGAATCCAGTTTTTCCAACACTTCCATTTTGAATCGGCAAAATGTTCGCATCTGGCGCAGACGCAATCCACACGCAATGGTCCAAAGAGTTCAGCAGGATCGTTTTTCAGTCAAAGTTTGAGCAGGGATACTCGGGAATGATTATATTGCTCCTGTGTTTCTCTCAAACCGATTGTCAAGCGTTGAATATTTGCGGTTTCTATGTCATACTCTCCTGAATCGACTGCGATGTATGGTTCCGAGGAATGCCCGTAATCGAATTTTTTTTATGCATGACGGTGCTCCACCGCATTTCGGCAGGCAAGTCCGCGCTTTTTTACAACGAGCTTTTGGAACTCGATGGTTCGGTCGTAATCCTGCGCCATTTTATGACCCGCCCGTTCATCTGACCTGAACCTTCTGGACTTTTATTTCTGGGGAGCTCTGAAAGCCATTGTTTATGGTTCAGGTAGGGTTTTAAAGACGGCTCAGGATTTACGAGATTGCATTGAAGAGGCGGTTGCTACTTTAACACGAAATCGAGCTGTGCTCCGTAGAGTGCGAGATAATTTGGTGAGAGACTCCAGGCTTGTATTGATAACGGTGATGGTCACGTTGAAGCTGGCAGACAAGCACAACTGCTCAGAACTATTGGGGCCGATGGGTCAGTTCTGTTTGTTCGTAGGCAGCGTCGACGACGATAAAGTGAGAGGCAAGGGAAACTCACTATAATCAAGTCACCCCGAAGTGAGAGGCGAGGGGAACTCACAATAATCAAGTCACCCCGAAGTGAGAGGCGAGGATAACTCACAATAATCAAGTCACCCCGAAGTGAGAGGCGAGGATAACTCACAATAATCAAGTCACCCCGAAGTGAGAGGCGAGGGGAACTCCCAATAATCAAGTCACCCCGAAGTGAGAGGCGAGGGGAACTCCCAATAATCAAGTCACCCCGAAGTGAGAGGCGAGGGGAACTCCCAATAATCAAGTCACCCCGAAGTGAGAGGCGAGGGGAACTCCCAATAATCAAGTCACCCCGAAGTGAGAGGCGAGGGGAACTCCCAATAATCAAGTCACCCCGAAGTGAGAGGCGAGGGGAACTCCCAATAATCAAGTCACCCCGAAGGGAACAGAAATCTACCACGTCCACGTTGTTGTTCCTGGGTAGCGCTAAGAGTAGATTAAGCAGATTTTTTACCTTGAAAACGAATTTTTCAGGATCATTTTTGGAGGATGATTTTCGCTAATCATGATCAGGATATTCAGAACATGATTTTAAGAACTTTATAAGCATTAGACTTATTTTCTGACTTCATAAAAATCGATTTTTTGGAAATTTCAGGCAGAAAAACTTCAAACGAAGATTTCTCTATGAAATATTGATTTTCGGCATATGGTCCCTTTGAGATTTTTGTTCAGCTCGACGAGTAGAATCGACTAAGCCAATAAAACAATTTTTGAAAATGACCTTGAAAGTTAATTTTGCGGCACCATGTTTATGATGCAATGTTGGCGATCTCTACGAGTAGAATCGACTGGCAAAAGCTTGACCAATAATTTTTCCCCACCCTGTATATGTCCAGGCATTAGTATGCTTATCTTACCAAAAAGCAGTGAAATGCAGCTTCATGAATCTTTAGCTTTAACTCCTGATACAGATAAATTAAAAAATTATTTAATAGAAAAAAAATTATTAATAGTAAAGTGCAATGTCCCAAGTGCAACAAAAAATTAATAATTAACAAATAAAAAATGTTAAATGTTATTTAACAAATGTATACAATTTGTAAATGTTAACAATTTGTAACATGTTATGTTACAAATGTAAAATGTTATTTCATTGTACAAAAGTGTATTATGAGAAAGATAAACATAAAAAAATGGTTAAAAAAGGTGTAATTTTAAAATAAGTGTGAAAAAGAATACATGGTTTGGCAAGTCAAAATTAAGCATAGAAACAATAGGATTACAGCTTATTTTATAATGTTAAGACTCCACGACAAGACTTTTTATCTATAGAACTAAACCTGTCTGACCATACAATTGTAGACTAAACTTCTGTTTGCCGAGAGGTAGATATAATAAAACATTAATAAACACTAAATATATAAATATAAATATATATATATATATATATATATATATATATATATATA